TATTACCTCCCACTATCCTTTTCTTTTTTTTTTTTTTAAGTTACGTGTTCCAGTTGCTTGCTTATGTCTCTTTGTTGTCAGATTTACCACTGACTATATCATAAGTTGGACTCTGGACGAAGTGTAACTAAGTTACGAATGTTAAGATAACAATTTGGAAGTATGAATTATTGGAAAGTTAGATAAAAAATCAGCAATGTTCTTCAAGCAGTTTATGGACTTTGCTGTAATTGTATTGAAGAAATAAAACCTTACTAGCATAATTTTATCTGTGATAATATAACAGTCATCTTATAATCAAATCTTTTTAAATAGTCTCAGTTTCTTCCATACCCTCATTTACGGTGATAATGTCGGCTTCTTCTATTCATATTATTTGAAGTTGCCATAGTAACCCTTTTAGTCTCAATGTTCTCCAGTAAACCTTATACACTTTTCAAGGTAGTGTTATAGAATATTGCAGTAGAATCATTCGGACGGATTTTTTCCCAAGTTAAATTTACACCATTTTTTCTCTTAGAATGGATGAAAAGCAGAAGTATTTCCAATTTTAGACTCCTTTGTCATTTGAAATTCTGATCGTATTCGTATACAAAGTCCTCGTCTACTTTAGACACAAAATTTTCCATGTTAACTCGTCGTAAAACCCAAAATGTTCGAATTGCGGCAAGAAATTTTAATGTCGACTGGAAGTGTTTCTCATTCGCCGAATAATTTATCAGTTTTCTTTCATGAAGCTAAAGATCTAACGCTTGCTTGTGTGGTACATGAAAATCAGGTTCGTTACTCTTCCTTAACTTCCCACCTATTACATTATATATTAGTTTGGATGAAATCTAAAAATAACTACAAATTTCGAGATATAAAGGAAATAAAAATGAATAAAAATAATTAAAAATAACTAGAAACTTGTTAACATTATGTGGCAATGCTTTTTACTCCACTTCTATAGACTTAATCTTATTTTATAGTTTATATGAATTATTCCGCAGTACATTAATATCTTCCTCATTCTACAAAGTTATCGGTTACATTCCATTATTGGTCGCCGATAAGTTCCTTCGCAATATTTAATTGACATTAGTTGAATAGATTTTTCGTATCTTTTTTACAGTATGTCCTTAATTTTCGCAAAATTCAACTACAAACATGAATTGCTTGCAGTTTAATGGTAATCCGTGTTTGAATGGATTATAAAAGTAACTTCGTAGAAATTGTAGATCCTTGCTGAGCATTTTTCGAATGCAACTAGATTATACAGGTAAAAAGATATATGAAATATATCGAACTTCTTGGTCACCCCACTTAAAAATTAATTTAATGTTAATTTACAATTAACAAAGGAAATCTTCAATGGAATAATTTCCTTTTTGCTATCACTAAGAATGTAGCAGTGATCTTCTATTGGTGTCAGTAATCACTTCCAGATTGCGACATTAAACTGGGATCAAGGCCTGAATAGTTTTACATGTGATAATCTGCCAATCAAAGCTAATGATTCCGACACACCCCTTATTGTACTACAAGCGAAATACTGCATGCCAGTTTGCAGAACATTCCCTCTTTTGGTTATCACTACTTCCAAAGGAGTAATGGTGATTTTATTGGTTTTATCAGTTTTATTTCGGAAGTTTCTAGGAACTTTGGTTATATCTTTACTATGCTTTAAATTAGTAATGGTGTTTCTAAGTTTCGTCTATTTATTTGTAGGTTTACGATGTGAAAACTTTCAAATTACTTGCATGGAACGAAATGAATGATGTGCGTTCTTTTCATCTCTCTCATAGTTTCCACTAGTTAATTAGTATTTCTCATTAAGATTTCCGGTTCATCATTCATTATCCAATATTTCGCAAGCATTGTTAAGAAAATTTCTTGAATTTATTCTGTATAATTCAGCTTGTTTGTCTGCCAGAAACACCTTTTTAGACTTCAGAACCAACAAGACGTGAGCAAACATACAGCTTTACAAAGGGAATTACTTATGTGGAAAACTTAATCGCTGTTGGTAGGCTCAATATACTTTTTTTGATTGCAAAGAAAAAAGTAAAGATTTAATTTGAACCACTTCAATTCAATTTTCAAAATTTTGGCATATTCAACTTTGCTTCCAGGATCGCATTCGGGAGAATTGCTGGTATTTAGGTGTTCAGGCGAGAATTCTGTAACTTTCAAAAGAAGTGTCCAGGTTTCATTTTTTTATTTATTCATTTCTTCATCAAATCTTTCTTTTGTAAGGATTTAAAGTGACAGCTGTTCAGAAGAAAGTTTCAGGAGCACGATTTTGCAATAGCGGACGTAGCTACTTGTCGTTTTGATGATTTAACATGCTCTTGTGATGTCTTGGGTAATATAGCTGTTTGGGTCAAAAATTTCAAAAGTGCTCGGAAAAAATTTAGCACTGGGTAAGTCGTTTTATGGTTTGCATCTTTTGGAATGCTCATATCTAACTTCGAAACTTTGATGAAGCTACTATTAAGCATAACTATATCTTCCATGATTTTGTCCTAATTGATCATAGCGACACACTTTTAATTTCTGTTTCAAAAGAAGTGTCCAGGTTTCATTTTGCTTGTTGGTAAAAAATACATGAGGATAAGCCGCACTTTAATTAATAGGCATGAAATAAACTGCATCAATGTGCTGAGAAAGCAAGTCATTATTGGTACTTTCGCTGGTCAGTTATTATTTTATTCGACGTTGAGTGGACAGTTAATGGCCGAAGTGAATGCACATGTCCGTCAAATAAATGCAATTGCTGTAGCTCCGGAAAGTGCTCATGTGCGGTTTTTGTTTTCTCACACCGCGTGAAACATATTTGAGTAAATTAAGTTTGAAATGCGTAAACATTTTGGATAAGATTATATGTGATGTTGAATTCTGTTAAAGTCTATTTTCTGAACAATGTTGCAATACTAGCTTGTCGATAGTCCTTTTTACTCCGAAAAATTTATGGCTTATACATACATGGTTTTCAACTCCTTGCAGGTTATATCGGTCAGCGATGATACAATGATACGCTTATGGAAGTTGCATACTCGTAAGGCTAAAGCTTATAGGGTTTGTTGTTATAATGTCTTACAAAATTCATTATTTCTCGAAGCTATTTTGATCAGCCAATTTCAATAAAATAGTTCATAATAGTAATTTTTGGTCAATTTTTTGAGTAAATATAATTACTAATTTGGTTTTTGAAACATTGATTCTGGTTCGTTTTTATTCTTTGGAGGAATTTGTACTTGAAGTTTTTTTATACCCGTTCGCATGTACTGTTACGCTTATTCCCTTTAAATTTAAGGAAAGTGCTCAATTTGTTCTTTTTATTTATCAGCCTCTGCCTAAACTATTACAACTCCATTTCTTTCCTTTTCTTCACATACGACCCATTAACAATCATTGCTCTCACACTGATCCAACTACGATGTTTCAAATTCCATATTATAATTCATTCATTTGCTTATTCATCATTCATTTAAAGGTTGAGTGGCAATATAACAGAAGAGTTGAAAACATGCCGCTTGTGGGCGCGCAGTTTGTCAATGGTCGAGGAAGTGGTTTTGTTGTAGCAGCTTATGATTATTCCAAATTACTTTATTATCAGACAACGAAAAAGTTGTCCGAGGGATAGATGGACTGAATCAATATTTTGATAGCGAAGAATTTTTCTACACTATATTTTCAAATTTAGATAAAATTAATCTATTTTTTGAAAATCCTCTTGACATTAAACATTCTTACTAGCAGTAATCATAAATTAAACATTCTGTGAAAAGCAAATTCCTGCATATTAGTATCACTATCATTACGCTAACTTTTTCCCATAGAACAAGAATTTCTGGAGCTTAGACACTGATAAATACAAGGAATATATGGAACATGCACACGAATTCTTTTAATCTTTTTCTTGTCTCTCGCAAAATTGGACTTGTTATATTGTATTGTGGTATTTAGTTGAACTGTATTTGGATATTACATTAATCAGTGAGTACCGAAACGATGAATGACGCTATTGTTGTCAAACACAAATAATCTTCCTACTCAATTTACATGCTCCACTGTGCACCACACAAAACTTCCTGTCTTACAGTTTTTGACAAGTCATTCAACACTACCCCACACTATGCCACTGTAACGATGTTCGTGTAACCGGTTTTATACAATTTTCATTAATACGATTGACTCTGTAAGTTCGATCAGCTTTGCAAGTTCGTGTTTCATCTTTACCACACTTTTATCAGTAAACTGTAACATCCTGCATCGACCGGATATTTTTGATGCTACCGAAAGTCCACCAAGTTAGATGTTCCTTCAGGACTGAGTAAACTAGCAGTTACAGCTGAACTATAAAATCGTTTACTGGTCGATTATTCCAAAATCAGTAAGTCAATGAGTATGATACAAAGTGATGTAAAGATTTCTTCGAGGACTAATATTTATGTTGGAATCGCATTTTTAAAGTCTAATTTTTGTATGGTATTTAATCATCAAGAAAACACATCGATGGCACATTGTCATTTTATTAAAATGTTTCAAAGAGGTTGTTTTGCATTGGTACCATTTTTTGACGATGTTGTAGTTATTAATGCAAAATGATTGCCTTTCTTCCTCCTCCTCCTGCTCCTCTTTCCTTCAGTTATATCCAAACCAGAAAGAATTGTTCTTGTAAAAATTCCCAGCAAATTTCAATAGCAAAATGAAGGGATCTCATAGGTATGAAAAATCAATAACTAATAAGTTGTTCCTTAAAATAGAATGAGTAGATTTAGAAAAACGACGAGGTAACAAAAGGAGAAATAGAAGCAGAAATGAGAGCAAGAGAATAGTTTGTCTCATTGTGCATTGAAGCAGAATCCTTGATTCAGATGTAGCCAAGAATTCTGCAAGGAATGTGGTAAATATTCCATCAAGTAGGCGAAAAGTCATTAATTTTCACTTCTAAACATAGTATTATACTTTTCCACCACAAAATCCAGCCTGAATACCTTGTTCGTTTGAAAGTAGCAGTAGCTTTGTTCAAGTAGCAAGACAAATGGCTGAAGATTTTGAGGCTAATTGAAGAAGTGCGACTGGCTAGAAAAAAGCTAAGCCGTTCGAATCATTAACTGCTTCATCGACCTTAGTTTTTTTTAGTTTCAAAAATAATAGTTTAACGGTTGATACCATGGGCCTCATTTGGGAAATCGGAGCAGAATCTGTCTGGCATACATATAAATTATAATGGATGACTGAGTCGACACTTCTGACCAACTGATTAAAAATAGAGTGAGATTGGTGCGTAGAGAATCGATACCAATGATTAACGAATCCTCACAACAAGGAATGATGAAAGATCAGCTTTGAACAATGGTCTCTCACATCCTATTATTGCTTACATTGCCTTTCTAAGTCCAAAAACTCATTTTATCACTCATTTTATCAATTAAGATAATTTCCAGCATTTTGGAATATTGCTGCTAATGCGAGCTTGATTATTACATCAGTAAAGGTAGCATAGGTAAGCACAAATATTTCGATCTGTAGAGAGCAATGAAAAAAGGGTGTAAACGAATAGTAACCTTTCAATAAAAGATTTCTTAGAAGTTGTCTTCGGTTGAGATCATTTTTGAATGGTTAATTAAAATCCAACCTGACGTGAGAGATACGCCGCTTATGAATATTTAAAGAATCACTTTTTAAATCGTGGAATTTCGACCATGAAGACCAATCATTCTGATACCCTGGTAAATGATCTCAGGAATAAAAATATAAAAATTATAATCTTTTAGCGAAAACCAAATTTAAGCTTACATCTTACTTAGGAAACAGTCACTTGTTTTATAGGATTTGTGCATGCCTGTTTGTTGTGCCGTGTCAGTCTGTTAACCACAGTGAACATTTGGTGCGAGATGTTTATTTTATTCCGTGTTCATATCAAGCATCAGATTGCTTTCTTGCACTCCAAATGAATGTCAAATATCTTTGTTTGACCCTTCTTTGAGGGGATAACTTTCAATGATGTCTGAAAATCCCAATTGTTTACAACTCTCCACTTCCCTCATTCTTCCATTCTTCTTTCCATTAATTTGCTATCTTCCCCATTGCACTTCTCCTCGGTCTTTTTCCGCAATTTTTCATTGCTACTAACAGCTGCGTGCATTGCAGCAAGCAATAAAATGATTTTTAGCCTTTTCACCCTCTTTCCTCTGGGAGCAGATGCAATTCACACATGTTTCAATTTTCGTATTTCGTGTCATAAAATCTATTCATTTTCCTTGTGTATCAAGTATGAAAGCTAAGGATTTCATTGAAAACAATTATCCATCCCCAACCTCATCTATACTAATTTGAATACCAATAACTGTTCTATAATCGTTGACTTTTGTAATCCTTCCTGTATGATGCATATTGCTTTTTCATGCAAAATTTCATTATTCTCCCCGTTGGTTGCTCACATTATTCTTTCCCTTTTGGCCATTAATTGCTGTTACTTGTTGCTTTATAATTTTAAATCATCATTATGTGCTTACCCTACTATATACTCCAATCTATAATTACATTAATTTAGACTTAAGCGACAAGCTCTTCTCTGTCATCATGAAAACTAATATTCCTGCTTTGAAAAATTTGAAGGCCTGATCATTTTCTCGACACATAAATCGCTTTACCTACTAATATACTGCTTAGTAAGGTGCAATCTAAAGAGTGAAAGTAAATTCGCTGTAAAAAATGTCTGTATACCGAAAAATTGAAATGCAGTGGGAAAATATTTCTCCCATTGAAATATCAGTTAAAATATCATCCAAACATCATTCGCTAAACCTCGAAAAGTAATGTCGTTTGTTGAATTGAATGCGCCCTTCCACCATTGGATCGTTTTCCGAACCACTTTTTTGTTATATATATATATATATTTATTTATTTATTTATTTATTTATATGTATATATATATATATATATATATATATATATATATATATATATATATATATATA